GACCCCAGACTATGGAAGTCCTCTATACATGAACTGAAGTCACTGAAAAACAATGGGGTTGATTTACTAAAACTGGAGAGTATAACAATTCAGCTTCCATTTTTTTTGTCAAAGCTTAACTGAACAAGTGGAAGTTTGAAGCTGATTGGCTACCATGCACAACTGCAGTAGATTTTGCATTTTCCAGTTTTAGTAAATCAACCCCAATTGGTATACAGTTAAATGGGAACTCCTAAGCGTGTTCTGGGTCACTGTACAATGTACTTTAATAGATAATAATATTGACACCCCTGCATTTCTGTCAGATAATGCACCACTTTGCTCAAAAAAGTGTTGCAATTACAAATGTTTAGGCATTCTCATATTTTTTTTTTGTTTGTATTGGTATGACACTAAGAAGTGGAGAAATAAAAAGTTGAATCTGACACATTCCACGCAAAACCCCAAAAATGGACCGGACAAAATTATTGGCACCTTCTCAAAATTGTAAGAAATAATTGCATTCCAAGTTTGTGATGCTCCTGTAATTTGTAATTAAACTCACCTGTATCAGGTGCTGACTATTTAGAAATCACACCGGCAACAAGTTAAAATGGTGAAAAATTGACTCAACCTTTTTGTTGTGTGTCCCTGTGTGTTCCATGAAGCATGGAGAAGAGAAAAAGCAAAGAATTGTGTATTTGAGAACAAAAATTGTGGAAAAGCATGGACAACCTCAAGGTTACAAGTCCATCTTCAGAGATCTTAAAGTTCCTGTGTCCACTTTGCGCAACATTGTCAAGAAGTTTACATCCCATGGCACTGTAGCTAATCTCGATGACTGTGGATGAAAGAGAAAAATTGATGAAAGATTGCAATTAAGGATTGTTTGAATGGTGGATAAAGAACCTCAATCAACTTCCAGACAAATTCAAGCTGACCTTCAGGCGCAGGGTACAACTGTGTCAGCTTGTACTATGCGTCACAATCGGAATGAACAGGGATGCTATGATAGGAGACCCAGGAGGACCCCACTGTTGACACAGAAACATAAAAAAGCCAGATTGGAGTTTGTCAAAACTTACCTGAGGAAGCCAAAATCCTTTTGGGAAAATGTGCTGTGGATAGATGAAACAAAATTACAGTTTTTTGGTAAATCATTCTACTGTTTTCAAAAAAAGCAATGAGGTCTTTAAAGAAAGGAATACAGTCCCTACAGTCAAACATGGTGGAGGTTCACTGATGTTTTGGGGTTGCTTTTCTGCTTCAGGCACTAGATGTCTTGACCATGTGCATAGCATTATGAAATCTGAAGACTACCAAAACATTCTGGGGTACAATGTAGGGCCCAGTGTCAGAAAGTTCAGTCTCCGTCAGAGGTCAAGGGTTCTTACAGCAGGACAATGATCCAAAGCACACGTCAAAAAGCACTCAGAAATTGTTTCAGACAAAGCACTGGAGAGTACTGAACTGGCAAGGAATGAGTCCAGATCTCAATCCCATAGAGCACCTGTGGAGAGATCTCAAATACAGCAGTTGGGAAAGAAACCCTTCCAATCTGAGAGACCTGGAGCAGTTGGCAAAAGAAGAGTGGTCCAAACTTCCAGTAGAGAGGTGTAAGAAACTAATTGATGGTTACAGGAATCAATTGATTTCAGTTTTTTTTCCCAAGGGGTGTGCTACCAAATATTAAATTGAGGGTGCCAATAATTTGTCCTGTCCATTTTTGGGGTTTTGCATGGAATGTGTCAGATTTGGCTTTTTGTTTCTCTACTTTAAGAAATAAACATAAGAATGCCTAAACATTTGTAATTGCAACAATTTTCTAGGCAAAGTGGTGCAGGAGTGTCAGTATTTTTGGCCATGACTGTACATATTGAATGTCTCCTGATCCGCTTGTATATGTACCTGGTCCTGCTTCATTCTACCTTTCCCTCTGACATACCTCAAGTAAGATAATAAGCCCCAAACTAATTGACGGCAGTGACACTGCACCATCAATAAAGACATCACTATCCTACAGGGCAATCTCTCAGATGGCACTTTCCAAAAGGATAGTGTTTATTTTTGGTACATTCTCTCTCTCACATGGCTGTCACTTTCTAAGCGGGCAGGTATTCATGTAGTAGTCTTTCACTCTCTCTTCTTCTTCTCTCTGTCTCTTAACATACATGCCTGTCTCTTACATCAATGAACAAAGGGCATCCAAGAAGCACTCAGTGGCTCCTCATTATTTACTATCTGATATTTCCTCATCTCTTTATTTTCATATCTTTGCATATATGCATGTATGTGTACACACATGAATATGTATGTAACCCATGATGTTTTATGATTATAAAGCTCACAATTTTATTAGTCACAATTATATTTATATTATTATGTTTTATTGTTGCCCTGATGAAGTGAGAGTTCCTTTGACCCCCAAAACACATTGGCTGCCTTTTAAAACAATATCAACAATTGAATTTGGACTCTTATCTTTTGGTCTGGCTCTCCTTCCATATATGCACATATCCCTTACATGACAGTCACTTTCTATCTTAGCAAAATATAACAAATCTCTCGACCCCTTGCCAAAAATGCCCCATCTGTCGGTTGATCACCATTAAACCACTTTCAACTGGTGAGCAACTGTAACCCCACCCCCATAGTAACAATATTTGCCCATCCTAAACTGTTTATTATGCAATCAGGGAAGAATGCTATTTAGCTCATTATATTTACAATCCATGTATTCTTTCATTTTTTTCACATTTTCATTGCAGAAATCACATTAATCATTTAAAAATTATTTATTTTTTCATGGATACATTAATACACTAGAACAACATCTTTTAATTGTAACACTTCCACATCAATTTCTTCTTTCAGATTTTTGTACGTGCCTTTTTTTTTAACTTTGCACGATAACCATTGCGTATCTGATTTCAAAAATATTATTTCCTGATGTAAAAAATTTAGAATCCTTTTTAAAGGATACAGATCCTGATATGATGGTACACTTCTGTAAAGCCACGGTTGTAAATGTCACTTAGCTGAATGGCTTTTTTTTCCTATGTGCATACATTTGCAAATAAATAAGGAGTGCAAACAAGGTAAGGGGTGATGTCTGTGTCGGTTGGTTGAAGGTTATAAAATGTGTCTGAATTTGAAGGAAATATGAAGACATGACAAGGCTGAAATTATTTTGTACAGTATATGGACAATTTTTCAGTAACAAATCAATATTTAAAAAACTGGAGGTTAGCTTCACATAGTAATTTATATATATATATATATATTGATATATATATACCTTAGATTGTACGCTCCTTGAGGGTTAGGGACTGATGTGAATGTACAATATATATGTAAAGCGCTGCGTAAATTTACGGCGCTACATAAGTACCTGAAATAAATAAATAAATAAATATACACACACACACATATATATATATATATATATATATATATATAATTAGATATGAATTAGATATTTTTTTTTCAAAATGTTGATAAGTCCTCATGATTGATTTCTACTTACACCTGACAAGGTGACAAAGTACAATTTAAACAGCAGCCTTTCTTGGCCAAGTGTTATCAAATAAAAGGAAGAGCCAGTGTACACTGAATTTATTTAATGCTGTAAATCCCTGCATCTGGGTGTGCTACACACCAATGAGTACATGTGTATGATTTGTGGAATATGGCATATGTAGGAAGTTCAGTCATGGCTCAAGAACTGGCTAAATTAACTGGTTCTGTCTTTTGTCCAGAAGTCATGTGAGTATCAAGTCTCAGAAGGTGCAAACAAGGCAGACAGAAGACTAAAGATACAAGTGTGATATTTTGTGTTGAAAAGAGTGAATGTGATGGCGTATATATCATGAATATGGACATGCTGTTGAGATCCATTTTACAACAGTGCCCCTTATATGCATAAAGCAGACAGTAATGAAATATGCACATACCCAAAATTACAGTAGATAACTGATAACTGTTCCCATGGGGAATAAATAAAAAACCTGTGACCTGTATGCAGCCCTGGAAGACACATCTGTCCTGATCAGGCTTTTTAATTGATTAATTGCAGATTGGGCTGGAATGAGATGGGGTTTATGATCTTTTGCTGCACCCCTAGGTGGTTCTTGCTGGATTTGTCAGTGCTTAATCAATCTCTACATTGCAAGAAGGAGACAGGGAGAAACAGGGAAAGTACTTAATTGCAGTGGAATGATACCAGCCCAGCATATGAAAAGACAGTGTTAAACATTGCTTCAGACTTGCAGGCTGCTACCTGCAAGGGGTGGATATGAGAGGACTAGTCATAAGATGAAATGCAGGCTGGGGGAAACTAAGTGAAGATAAATGCTAGTAGTTAACATGCAGTGGCTTTGCTTGTAATATGGCATTAGATGAGATGGTCCCTCCTCCTTCTTGCCCTGAAAGGTACCCTGTCTATGCCAATCTGCCTTTTTCTCATGTAAATGAGGAGAGAGATGGTTTGCAGAGGATGGGATGGGATCAGACACTGTGCCTGCAGGCTGCTCAGCTTTCAGCTTCTCCTCCTCCTCATGGCACCAGAGGTCGCTCTGATTTTCTTAAAGACAGTTCACACATCTTTACCTCCCCAGACCTCCCTTATCGCTTGCATCTGAGCAGAGTTTCACAGATGCTAGGAGGTGATGCACACATCATGCCCATATGAACTGGCATGAAAAAAAGAAGCCCTGGGGGCACTACATCTGCAGTCTAGACTGGGGAAGGCAAAAACTCTGCTAGGCAGCAGCAAGTTTGCAGTCCCAGGGACACACTGAACTCCTGGATCAGAGGGGACGGATCCGACCAAGGGCTACCTATTAGAGTCGGACAGCAGCTCTCCAGGAATCTGCGCTTGCCATTGGCTGACATTTCTTTTCTGGGATTGCCTATAACAAGTTTCCACCATTACTTCCAAAAGTGAAGAAGATTTCCTAGCCCTGGCAGCGTCCAGGCTGAGCCGACGCAAGAGGGTGATTGGAGCGGCAATAGGGGTGGCCATGGTCCTCATCTTGCTAATAGCCATTCCATTGCTGGTCAGCAGCTCCAAGACAAGTACCCACTATGAGATGCTGGGCAGCTGCAGGATGGTGTGCGACCCCTACACCCCCCAGACTGGAGCTTCTTCTGCAGAGTCCAGCCAAGAGTATGCCCTCATCTCACCCCCTCCCCATCTGCAGGGGGCCAAGGCTGACCAGGGCAGGAAGGGAAAATCGGGACTTAGAGGATTACCGGGACCCTCAGGGCCACCAGGTCCAAAGGGTCCTCCAGGGGAACCGGGCAGACCTGGACCACCAGGACCACCGGGTCCTGGACCAGGGGGCTATGTCTCGTCCTACTACAGCCCTAAGATTGCCTTCTATGCTGGGCTGAGGAAACCACACGAGGGATACGAAGTGCTGCGCTTTGATGATGTGGTGACTAATGTTGGTAACTACTATGAGCCCTCCACCGGCAAGTTCACCTGTCCCCTACCTGGCATCTACTTCTTCGCTTACCACGTGCTGATGAGAGGTGGGGATGGGACCAGCATGTGGGCAGACCTGATGAAGAAACACACAGGTAACCTAAGATGGGTCACTTTGTTCTGGTTAACTCTTCAACACCTCTAGCTGGGTAGCCAAACCACCTGTTCATGCCATGCCTCCTTCTTCACTCCATGCCTCCTTCTTCATGTCTTGTCTCTTTCTTCACTCCACGCCTCTTTCTTCATACCATGCCTCCTTCTTCATTCCATGCTTCCTTCTTCATGCTTTTGCTCCTTCTTCATTCCATGCCTCCGTCTTCAAGCCTTATCTCCTTCTTCATTCCATGCCTCCTTCTTTATGCCTTGGTTCCTTCTTCGTTCCATGACTCCTTCTTCATTCCATGCTTCCTTGTTTATGACTTTTCTTCTTCATTCCATGCCTCCGTCTTTAAGCCTTTTCTCCTTCTTCATTCCATGCCTCCGTCTTCATGCCTTTTCTCCTTCTTCATTCCATGCCTCCTTCTTCATGTCTTGGCTCCTTCTTCATTCCATGCCTCCTTCTTAATGCCTTGGTTACTTCTTCATTCCGTGCTTTCTTCTTTATTCCATGCTTCCTTCTTCATTCCATGCCTCCGTCTTCAATCCAAGCCTCCTTCATACCTTGTCACCTTCTTCATTCCATGCCTCCTTCTTCATGCCTTGCCTCCTTCCTCATGCCATGCTTCTTCCTTCTTCATGCCTTGTCTCCTTCCTCATGCCATGCTTCCTTCTTCATGCCTTGTCTCCTTCCTTATGCCATGCCTCCTTCTTCCTCATACCTGTGGCACAAGGTGCCACCTGGCAACATTCTTTTTATACTGAATATAAAGTGTGACTTTCTCACCTTGTATTACCATTCTGGCCATGGCATCAGCTCTCCTTTTCCTGCCTGTAACTATTATATATTCAGACAGCGCTACAGGTACCAGGGCTACCCAGTGCCAGTCTGATGAATGCAGCAGGCACAAAACTAGTTTGGCAGGCAGGGTCACCCTAGGTCTTCTTCTTTCTCCCGGAATGCAGCAATAGCCCAGCCAAGTCAGTACACACATAAAAGATGAATGGATGGAAGTTAAAGTATAATTAAATTCTGTTTGCTTTACAGCAGGTGTAGGTGCCCAATACCGACACCCACTTCCAGCAAAAGGGACTTTGCAAGGTTCAGCTCGGTCAATTAAAATGAATTGTTACTAATATGTAGGGGAATTTATTTTTTCAACAGGTGTACTGATCACTTTCAGGTCCGGGAAAGAGGACGTAGCAGCTTACTGTTTAAGTAACAGAGTAAATGGAATATATATATATATATATATATATATATATATATATATATATATAAAATCACACACACACATATATATATATATATATATATATATATATATATATATTATTGCATTAGTTATATTTTCTATGTTTGCAGTATATTGAAGTCGGTATTGGAATGATTCGTTTCGGCTTTGTGGTCTTCCTCTGAGCTGGAAAGGTCACAACAAAAGATGAAACTGTTTTGCAGTAATTTATGTATTTATGTCTAGTGGAGAGTTCCTTGGAAATTGTCCACCTCCAATTATATCACAGCGGGAGAGCTAGGAAAAGTCTATTCACATTGCTTAAAGTCTCCTTCAAATCCCACGAGCAAATAGACCCCACATAATGACAAAGGTATATTTGGGGTGATAAAGTCTTATAGACGCCATGCTGGAACTCCTACTTGTTTATATTCGTTCAATAAAAAACATAATTTTCTGCACCTTGTTGCAATTGAACAAATACAACTGACAGCGCCGTATATATAAAATATTAGTAACAATAGAGACAAAACTTACTCGTCTACATCATGCCATTATAAAGTCAGCAGAGGGGGTACAACAGGTTGGGGACATATTGAATGAGTCCCTGTGTGTCAGAACAAACGAATGAAGAAGTAAAATGTGCTAATCAATGTGATGAGCTGAGAGTACAGGTGAATGGAGCCTCAGCCACAAGTCCCATGGACAGCGACCTCAGTGCTGGACCTGTCACTCTCCAGAGATCCCACAACCTGCACCCTTGTCCTTTACAACTGGGACCTGCTCTGTTCTGGCACACAGGAAATACTGCTGCATATTAGTTTTACATCCTAGGATGATTTCTACATATCGGAACAAATACATTGAAACAAAAGTAGGACTCGGGCTAATTTACTAAGTAGTTGAAATGGTTCATTTAAATTAAAAAAAAAAAAACCCTGTAGATTCACTCCAATGATCAAATCATATGAAAAGCAAACTTCTGTTTAATTATTTCATCTACACTTTTGATAATTAAAGTGGCTCTTCACTTTTTTTTATTTGAGTGAACATTCCCAATTTCTTTAGTAAATGGCCATTTAAATGAAGCGAAATAATTTTACTTTCTCTCCTGTTTTTAGAAATCAGTCATGTGCACCCTAGCCTTTAGACAATATTCCTCTTCTTCTCGTTCTGATTATTTTTATTAATATGATCATTATTAATAGTAGTATTACATTGCAGCACACAGAAAAGTTCAATTACCGGAGCTCTTTTATATAACTGTTGATCCCTGGGGTTCTCTGCTCATATCTAATGTGTGTTTGGAAATAGTAATATAGCTCATACATGCAGATAATATGAATGGTGTATTTTGCACCTTATTAGACTCCTGTGCATGATAGATCCCGGCCAAATTATGAGATGACATGCCCAGGATGGAGGGGGGACCGTGTCGCTGTGTGTTGCTCATTTGATGGCTGGAATTAGATGTATGACATTAGGGAGGGTGGAACAGCTGCTGCCTATCCCTTGATGCTCATTAAGTGGCATATTTAGGTTTTGGTTATTTGTTCAAGGTTCTTGTCCATATTTTGGTTGGTGTCTTGTGAACAACGAGCAGATTCAGTGCTGGCTGCCAGTAAAAAGTGTCCCTGCAGTGTTTTTTCTTTGGTGAAAGCCTCGCCTTTTACTATTGCTGTCCCTATGGTGGCAGGGACAGGAGAGGAGCCTTTATTTAAGTGACAGGGCTGCGCAGTGTGTGTAAAATGAATGACATGTTGTGGAGCACAGGGGCATCAACACAGATTAAAGAGAGATGTTTGTCGTGCAGTTTGAGCTGGTGAATATTTTATAGGGAGCGGAGGCAGTGATCTATATCCTCCTCACTGATCCTCCAGCCTCTAGGATAACAAAGTAGTTTTTGTTTTTTTGGGTTTTTTTAATGTCTGCGGTTAAAAAGCCAATACCAACAGTATTTAGAAGGTGCGTGTACTGTGCCTGAAATCAGAAGTGTAACTGATTTGATCTGACAAAATAAAAAAAAAAAAATAAGAAAATAAAAAAAAAGAAGCTGATGCCCTTGGCAATGCCAGTGTTTGCTTCATTTTTCAAACTGCACCATGAAAAATCAAAGCTGGTTGGTTGCTATGGGCAATAGCATTACTTTTCATTTGCCAAAGTTTTTTTTTTTTTCGTAATTCATTCCTAATGTCTACATTCATTATAAGAGCTTAATCCAACTTAAAGTAAATCGGTCACAATAGAAATATGGCAGCTGCCACTCTTTATTGCCTTCAGAAAATGCTGCTTTACTGGCTATTATGCTAATCCTTTGTGCTTGCTATGGGAGTTACTGGCTAGTAACAAATCCAAACCAGAAAAGTGGGAGAAAAGTCCTGATATGTAGAGTTGATCCAGATCAGAAATTTAAAGCAAGAAGTTCAACATGACAGCCAGATAATTAGCATTTTCTGAAGGAGTGGTTTGTAGTGGTAGCTTCCAGGCACTCGCATGACAGGTTTTCATCAAAGTGTATCTAAACCCAATAACAGAAGTTGATAGTATTGCAGCGTACCTGTCCTTAGTTGTGGTGGCTGCACTACTTTTCTTTATTACACTTTCCCCCCTTAATTTTAATATGGTAGTCCTGCTTATAACACACTTCCTTTGTGACAATGGGACTGATCAGTGTTGTCACCCTAGGACACCTCCCTCTTTTCTCCATAACAGGGGAGATGTTCCTTTGCCCACAGATTTAGCAGGAACAATGCTAACTGATAACAATCCAGGGACATAAAGTACAGGAAGATTTCTATGTGGATGAACAGGTTTTTTTTTTGTACTTAACCAACAGATATAATAAAACAATTTCAATGGTGTTTTTAACAGACTAAAAGGGATCAAAAATACATTTGTTGTTAGAGTTTACTAGCGCTTTAAAGCTGCATTAAACTCAAAAGCAAACATTTATTATACAGCAAAAAGCTGTTCTGCAAATGTAGCTGTTAGAGGGTTAAGACAAACCATTTAAGACTGACAGGGGTGCTTACAATGATGAGCTTTTATTTATATATGTAAAACCTTTATCCCAAAAGAACACAACCATTGTTGTAACTATAAAGTGTTAGCTAGAGTTTGTCTTTGATTTGTTAGTGTATCTAAATCTGCTAGTACATCTAACATTAGCTTCCCTCCAGGTTAACAATGCTGCTGTCCAAAGGTTTCTCTGTTGCTCCTTGTTAAATTGCAGCTTACCAATTCTTTGATGTGATGGCTTTATTTGTTTTCTTTTTTAAGTTTTTCTTTCTTCTATTTTCACCTGGTGATTCAGCCAGTAATAAGTCTGTTGTTTTTCAAAAGAACAAGCTCCCTTCCAGCTGTATCGGTTACAGGGATGAGACAAACCCAGGGGCAGACTGACCATTTCAGCACTCGGGCACTGCCTGAGGGCCTGGGGTCAGTAGGGGGCCCCATGAAATGCCCCTGGTACTTTTTTATAGGCTTTTTTGAATGTGGGCAAGGACACAGGGCCCCCATGATCCCCTATTGCCCGGGGGCCACATGAGTTGTCAGTCCACCCCTGGACAAACCATTTAACACTGGCAGGGGTGCTTACAGTTATGAATCTTATTCATTTATATAAAATCTTTATCCCCAAAGGTAAAAAAAACTATTTGCTGTAACTGATTATAAAGTATTAGCTGGAGTTTAGCTTCAATTTGTTAGTGTATCTAAACCTGAAGGTGCATCTAATACTTCCTTCCCCCCTGACTGACAATGCTGCTGTCTAAAGGTTCCCCCTGTGTTCCTTCATCCAGAGTGGGGGCACTGTAATACAGGAGGTGTGTTACTGGCTGGATCACCAGGTAAAAACAGAGGGAAAAAACTTAAAAAGGAAAACTAATGCAGCCATCACATCTAATGATGGATAAGCTGCAATTTAACAAAAAGTGTGCCTTAATGTTAGACCATACATAATGCATCTAATCAGCTACTACTAGGGTTACATGTATTGCCCCGTGTAACAATATTTACATGCATGCTTGTTCCTGTTGTGTGATTCATAAATACTTTGACAGTAGGCCCATATATATATATATATATATATATCAGGGGCAGACTGACCATTTGGAAAATCGGGCACCGCCCCATGAGGTGCCCCTGGTACCTTTTTCATAAGCTTTTTTGAGTGTGGGCTAGGACACAGGGGCCCCATGATCCCTTATTGCCCGGGGCCCCATGAGTTCTCAGTCCACCCCTGATCAGGGGCGGACTGACCATTTGGAAACTCGGGCACTGCCCGAGGGCCCGGGGTCAGTAGGGGGGGGCCCCATGAGATGCCCCTGGAACCTTTTTCATAGGTTGTTTTGAGTTTGGGCAAGGACACAGGGGCCCCATGATCCCCTATTGCCCAGGGGCCCCATGAGTTGTCAGTCCGCCCCTGCCCCTGATATATATATATATATATATATATATATATATATATATATATATATATAGTATAGCTGTCTTCCATAGGGAATAATGGTAGAACATAGGTAGTGCAATTAATTAGTTACTAAGGGTTACAGCAGTACATTGCTCTGTGTATTGTGTATTAGACCAGATCCTTATCTGTACATGAAACCTCCTCCTTCTCTAATTGGTAAATCAGTCAGACACCTCATTTATCCCAAGTCTCACATCACTTGAGAAGCAGCACAGCTCTACTGCAGTGTTATCAGTTTAGTGTCAGTCTGAATTTAAAGTGCCAAAAGTAAAACGATAGTGCAGTTACCTCTAAATGGTAGATTTTTAAATTCTCTAATGTCCTGGGAGGCTGAAACAATCAAGGAACCCACTCACTACAATGATTACCTTTTTTTTTTAAATCAAGCTTTCCTCCCCCTCCCCTTCATTGTGATATTACAAATTCAAGATGTTCCGAAAAACAATCCTTAATTGATCCTAAGTATATGTGTGGCCACTTCAAGGGACAGTCCCTCCCCTCCTTGCAGGCGCAGCAGGTGAACTCAGATGATCAAGGAACACGGTGTGCTGTGATAAAAGACCCTGGCTGGAAATGAGGCGGCGAGGAGAGGGTTAAAGAGCGCTGCTGCTGCTGGAGAGGTCAGCTCTGCAGGTGGAGGACCGGGAGGAGTCAGTCTAGGGACCATTTATCAAGGCACAGGGGGCACCGGTGACAAAAGAAGGACAAGCCACTTGATATTCCTGGAAAAGTCACAGGAGCATCTCCGCAAAACAACTGCAGCACCGCGTTCTTCCCTGAAACCAAATATATCTGCATCGCCTTTCATGACTGTAAAGACGACGGAGAGGGTTAGCACCGAACACAGGGCTCTTGGGCCACTGGGAATAATATTTATTCATTGGATGACACTTGGGATAGGTTTATTGTTTCTGATGAGCTATTACACAGCAGAGAGCAAAAATACATTCTATAGATGACACCTATTAGAAAAGAATACCTAAGAGGAAACAATTGTTTAAAGGATAACATCTCACTAGAGAGTATTTGAAATAAAGACAATTAGAGAATCTATCTATCTATCTATCTATCTATCTATCTATCTATCTATCTATCTATCTATCTATCTCTATCTATCTATCTATCTATCTATCTATATTTATCTCTATCTATCTATCTATCTATCTATCTATCTATCTATCTATCTATCTATCTATCTATCTATCTATCTATCTATCTATCTATCTATCTATCTATCTATCTATCTATCTATCTATCTATCTATCTATCTATCTATATCTATCTCTCTCTATCTATCTATCTATCTATCTATCTATCTATCTATCTCTTCAAAGAGCAGTAACCTCTCGGGGGGGGGGGGGGGGGGGAATTGAAATGAAGACAGTAAAGCTGGTCATACATTATACAATTTTCGTGTTCAATTTCCTTTAGATTTACCGTCAGTTATGCAGTGCAAGGGCCTGATTGCATACAAATTGAAAGTGTTTAGGTTTGACCTCATGTTACATGGTGTAAGTAAATCTAAAGGAAAATTGTACAAGAAAATTGTATAATGTATGGCCCGCCTTAGACAATGTTATATCTGTCAGTTACATATGTATCAACCGTCTATCTATCTATCTATCTATCTATCTATCTATCTATCTATCTATCTATCTATCATCAAAGAGAGGTAAAGTAAAAATTCACTGAAGAGCATTTAAAACGAGGATATATATATATATATATATATATATATATATATAAAATATTTGTATTTATTTATTTTTTAGACTATTTTGCCCTAGACTTTTGATATAGGCACAGTGGTAGTCTTCCACCAGTATCACCTGACAGAGCTTGTTAAATGTATTTTTCAGATAACTTCATACCTATGGGCTGTCTCTGTAGCATTCTTGCATAGTGTGTCAGAAAAACAAGGATGCACTCAGGGATGAATAGATCTCTTACAATTGCTCCAGCCTAAAGGCAGCTACATCAGCTACAGCGCTGCTTCCTACAAACTGCTGTATAGATGTCAAAGCCGCGCTGGAGGCTGAAGGTGCTACAACCAGATGACCAATTACTGCTGGTCTGGAGAAATTGCTTTTTACACACAAATATTTTTGAGAATATATACTGTGCGAGATACATTTTAAATGGGTTTGGTGCACTGCCAGAAAATAAGCTAACATCAAGAAATTAAAACTGCGGACAAATATAGTTCAATCATTTATTAAAAATGCATGTATTTATACTGCTAATATAGTTAAGGTAAAAGGGGGCTTTATAATAATTTGCCATAGTTCCTTGTACAGGAGAAACAAGACTGAGGCTGGAAGGGCCTAAGAGACAGTCACCAGGAACTGTAGAATGCAGCTATATATATAAGGCCCATTTTTCATGCAATGAAATTCCAGTGCAGTGGCTTTACATGCCTCTTACACGCATGTATCATGTTCTATCATTCAACCCTATGGAAGATGTGCTTTGCTGGTAAATACACTAAACATGCAGCAGGAAATATTTCTAATGCACTGTTCTAATATGCATCTGAATGTAGCCTAAGGTCCTAAACAGTGGCAGGGCAAGGTCTTTTCCCATCCATGGCAAAAAAGGCCAAAGCGCGTGCCCCAGCTGTTAACAGCAGCATGGGTCCTGCCCCTCTATACCCCTTCTCTTCTGCCCAGGGGTGGGCTGACCATTTGGAAACTCGGGCACTGCCCGAGGGCCTGGGGTCAGTAGGGGGCCCCATGAGATGCCCCTGGTACCTTTTTCATAGGCTTTTTTGAGTTTGGATAAAGACACAGGGGCCTCATGATCCCCTATTGCCCGGGGGCCCCATGAGTTGTCAGTCCGCCCCTGCTTCTGCCTACCCTTCGGCCCATGCCTGGTCCTGATTCACTAAAGATGAGTTCCGCTTCCATTGAGGTAAACAGTAATTCCTGTCTATGCCAGAAAAATGATACTCATATCGGAAACCTTGTACTGTATATACCTGTGTACAATACCATGTATAGACAGGGGCCTGCTCCATGGACAGACTATGCCAATAATTAATATTAATAATAAGTTGTACTCAGGGGCGGACTGACCATTTGGAAACTCGGGCACTGCCCGAGGGCCCGGGGTCAGTAGGGGGCCCCATGAGATGCCCCTGGCACCTTTTTCATAGGCCTTTTTGAGTTTGGGCAAGGACACAGGGACCCCATGATCCCCTATTGCCCAGGGGCTCCATGAGTTGTCAGTCCGCCCCTGGTTGTACTTGTTTATTTGCAGTCTTCTCTTTTGTACATCCCTCCTTCATTTTTCAGTATCACAGAGAAGGGGGCAGGGAGCTGCAGTTAGAGCTAATTGGAGAAAGGGGACACTCACCCCTCCACACAGCACACATGAGCTATGTTCTGAATAGATACACCGTCTGCTGAGCTCTCTCCTCCTCTCCCTCTGACACAAATTTATCTCATGTGTCTGGAAAACTTCTCAGAGTGACACATGCTGATAACAGAGGAATGAAGCACTACAGATTGCAGTGCTCTGTTCAGATTTCATGACTGAGGTTTACAACACTTTAAGAATTGGTAAACTAGAAGACATTACATTTTGCTTTTGGGTTTAGATATACTTTAACCACTTGCCACCCACCTACTGTAATTATACTGCGGGTTGGCAGTACAAGCAGGTTGGATCATGTACATGTACATGATCCGGCCTGCTCTGGTTTATGAGCACGCTGTGACCATTGTGTCCACCAGTAAACGGTAACCGGGTATCACGTGATCGCTATTATTGGTCATAGCGATCAAATGATAACAATATAAGCAACTTGTCATGAATGGCTCTCCATTCATGAACAGTTTGCCTACCATGATCTGTGATTGTACCTGGCTACCTGTACCATGTGATTAGCTGTAGCCAATCACAGATCACAGCCACAGCCAGCTTCTAATGAACAGGAAACTTTCATGACAGCTAAAGCTATTGCTTATACAGTGATCATCACTGTATAACCAATAGCAGTATTAAAAAAAAAATCCCTGATCACTTTGGTGACACTGAGCTACCCTGATGACAGGATATAAAAAAATAGTAAAAAAAAAAAAAAAGAAAAAATGATTTTTTTTTTTTTTACATACTGTCACCAGTCAGTATCCCTGATCCCCACCACACCAGTCATATGATGATGCTATACTACACTGGTGACAGTGTGAAGACATTTTTTAGTTAATTTCTTTATTTTTCCAACAATTGTGACAAAAAATTAAAATTTTCAAAAACTTGGCGTTTTTTTTTATTTTTTATTGGTTATGTTTTATAACAGAAAGTAGAAAATATAATTTTTTCAAAACGATCAGTCTTTTATCATTTATATAATAGAACTAAAAACCCAGTACCACCAAAAGAAAGCTCTATTTGTGTGAAAAAAATCATATACATTTTATTTGCGTACAATGTTGCATGACCGAGCAATCACCAGTTAAAGTAGTGCAGTTCCGAATAGAAAACAAAATGCCCTGATCATGATGGTGGTAAAACCTTGCCGAAGTCAAGTGGTTAGGTAAAACTGTAAAAAAATAAATAAATGAATAAAATAAAAAAAAAACATTTACCACACCTATGATAAATGCATTATTTTAATAAAAACAGTATAAATTGGGTACTTAGACACAACAAAATAATTATTATAATAATAAAAATGAATTTAGTTATATTAAAAATCCTATACGCATTTGGCATTTGACAACTTGGTTATAACAGAGCTAGGCATTACAAACTACACATGTTCACTTCAATGTTTGTACCAGTATACTACCAATCAATTAATCTTTCTAGAAACACATTCAAGAAAGGTCATGCATTACAGAGCCAGGCTGGGCACACACAACTGTGCACTAGTTGTGTGTAAAGGTTTAAATATGAAGTACACTCTGTGCAAGCTACTGTAGGTGTACATGGTGGAATAGAGTATCGTCATGAATGCTAATGTTTGATCTGTGAATACATTTTTTTTTCATTGTTTCAGAATATAAATTAAACATCTATTACAATATAAATTAGTTATCTGTTACAGTGACAGTCAAGTACGTTTTATAACGACACAACAAAGTTAATTACAACTAAATGTAAGATTAAATATTTATTCCCTTTCTAACTCTGTGAAATGACATATTTCTAAGATTACAATTATCGAAAAAACATAGTCACAATTTTAGCTGTGGAAAAACATTGTAGATTGTTTTTTGTTTTTAAACCTAAAATCTATTCTATCCTGCTCTTGTGAGATACAGGCAGGTACAATTGTGGCAAGGTGTGCCTAAAGTACACCCTTACTTGTTTAAAAAAATCCATTCAGTTTAAAATAGAAATTAAAGGCAAAACACACACACACGCATATATATATATATATATATATATATATATATAGTATATATAATTTTAAATGTCTTTTTTTTCTTTATTTAAAGTGTTACTAAACCCATAACAGTAAAATCAGCCTGTATATGCAGTAAAGCATGCTTGTTATACTCACTGTGGAATCTAAGGGGTTATCCTCTGCATTGTGTAAAAAGGCTGTTTGATCCTTTCTTCTCTGTTCCTTCCCTTGTTTAAATGACCACCTCTTATCTCCTGAAAAGACAGACTGAACCATAGGCATTTTGCACATGCTCAGTTTGATGTGTATTGCTAGAGAGTTTGTTTTTTTTTTTTTTTGGGAGAGTGCATGTGATCAGCACAGGGCTCCTGCAAGCTTTAGCTAGTGCTTGGCTGAATACTGATAGAAGCCACAAGACTGCTCTAATTTCTGATGAGAAAAGGTATTTAGCAGTTTATATTTACTAAAATAATTGCATTTCCATTTTCTGTGTACTGCCGGAGACCAGATAGAGTGAATGCAGGGTCCTGGGTTTAGTAACACTTTAATAAGTGATCACATACCAATTGTTCTCAGCTGTATAAGAAGCTTAGCGAGCTAGGGGTGAAGAAACAACCGCACACACTGATCTTCACAGCGAATGGCTGTGCATAGGGGGGGTGTTGACAGCAGAACTCTGATCATTGGAGGATAGCAAACTGAGTTCTAAGCATACAGTAGCAAGAGAGGTTGGAGGTGGGTCCAATCGATCCTTGCTGTGATTGGACCGCCATGTGGTTGTGGGGCTAGGGACTATTTGACCTCTTTAGTATTTTTTGGCATATAAGTATTGGACCAGCAGGTACACACTTCAGCTCTGAGGAAGGGGGTTTGTCTCCCAAAACACGTCAGCTTATCCCCAATTGGGGCACAGCATTGCATTGACTGCCATTGCGGACTATTCATACTGCTTTTATTATTCCTTGGTTTGTGAGTATATATCGATTTGATTACACATATTATAAATACATGGTGTACCACAGTAATGCATGATGAGAGTGCGACCTTTTTTTCTTTGTTCATGAGACCACACTGTCCCCTCATGCCTAGCGTGGTATGTTTTTAACAGGTAAGCAGAGAAACTGTGAGTAACACCAGGAATTTCACACAGAGGAAGCAATACAAAGAGAACAGGATACTTTTTAACACAAGTACCTGGTACAGCAGGCACATATCAGGAATGTGAAATCAATGGTGGAGAAGGATGTGGGGGATCTGGTAGATCACAAGCTTAATAATGGCATGCAATGCCAAGCTGCAGTTTCTAAAGAGAGCAAAATCCTCTCTTGTATTAAAAGGTATAGACTCCAGAGAGAGAGATATCATATTACCCCTGTACAAATCATTAGTAAGACCTCGTCTGGAATATGCAGTTCAGTTTTGGGCACCAATTCACAAAAAAGAACATTGGGGAACTGGAGAAAGTGCAGAGAAGGGCAACCAAACTGATATGAGGCATGGAAGAGAGATCAGCTATGAGGAAAGATTAGAGGAACTGAATGTATTCTCTCTTGAGAAGAGGAGATTAAGGGGGGATATGATCAACATGTATAAATACATCAGTGGTTCATATAGTGAACTCGGTGTAGAGTTATTCACCCTGAGGTCATCACAGAGGACAAGAGGGCACTCTTTACGTCTGGAGGAAAATAAATGTAATCTCCAAACATGGAAAGGTTTCTTCACAGTGAGAGCTGTGAAAATGTGGAATATACTCCCTCAAGAATTGGTTCTGGCCAGCTCAGTGGATTGCTTTAAAAAAGGCCTGGATTCTTTCTTAGATACACAGAATATAACTGGATACTAACATTTATAGGTAAAGTTGATCCAGGAATATCTGATTGCCTCTCGGGGGATCAGGAAGGAATTTTTTTTCCCTGCAGGTGCAAATTGGATCATGCTTTCTGGGTTTTTTGCCTTTCTCTGGATCAACTGTGGGTATAGGATTATACTTTTTTTTAATGGTTGAACTGGATGGACTTTTGTCTTTTTTCAGCCAGACTAACTATGTAACTATGTAATGTTGGGGTAACATATTGTTGAAATGTATTGAATTTTTGTGCGCATAATGCATATCCTGGTTAGATAATCATGCATGATTTTATGCACATGTGCATTGTATTTTATTTTAGTAACTCGTACTAAGATTCCTCTACTGTGTCATTCAAGACCGACAGCTTATTGAGACAATAGGAGTTTAGGAAGGCAAAAAGAAGAGCAGAGGGAAGACGTCACCAAGTCCTCCCTCTGTTCTTCTTTTAGTCTTCCTAAACTCCTATTGCATATTTGCCTATACATAGTACTGTAAGAAGGCTGGAAATGGAGGCCGAATGCCAAGCAGATAGAAAAGAACAATATTTAATCCAGTTATATGTCCATTACAAATCATCAAATGTGTTTCAAGATCTTCTCTGATAGGTAAGGCAAATAAAGATGATAATCATATTGTGAATTTAGTTGTTTTGCAAGAATTCAGCTTTGAAAACATTCTGGCAAATAAACAATTTATCGTCATATGACTTTTTTATTTATTTCAACTGAGTATTTAGCTGGTCTAAAACTAAAACTTCACTGTTTATTGAGTAGCACATTTTAGGTGGCCTTTTTTTTTTGACAGTACGGATAACAGTGCAAGAAATCTCATGGCATTTAAAATGGGGGTGCTCTGCACCAGAAAATAATCGCTTGGACAGATCTGGTTTAAAGAAAACCCATAAGGAATTTAGTCCTAATAGGACCACCTGTTGTTAGCAACTCAAAGGCCCCTAAGGCATATGCTGGGCAGCACAATGGCTAAATGGTTATTATTATTACACAGGATTTACTCAGCTCTTTACAATATAACGGGAGACAATACAGCAACAATACAGTTCAATACAAGAGGGTTAGGAGGGCCCTGCTCCTTGGAGCTTACAATCTAAGAGGGAGGGGCTAGTGGTACCAAAGGTAGTAACTGTGGGGGATGGACTGGTTGGAGGAGTAGAAGATTCCATTATTAGTGGAGGGCAGGATAGGTTTCCTGAAGAGATAGGTTTTCAGAGATTGCCTAAAAGTGAGCAGAGTAGGCAATAGTCTGATAAATTGGGGTAGAGAGTTCCAGAGGATAGTGGAAGCTCTGGAGAAGTCCTGGAGATGAGCATGGGAGGAGGAGACAAGGGAGCTAGAGAGCAGGAGGTCATGAGAGGAGTGGAGAGTACGGTTTGGGTGATATTTGGTTAGCACTTCTGCCTGGCAGTACTAGGGTCACTGGTTCAAATCCCAACCAGCACCACTTGCCCGGAGCTTGCATGTTCTCCCTGTGCCTGTGTGGGTTTTCTCCAGGTACTCCAGTTTCTTCCCACACTACCAAGACATGCTGGTAAGGTTAATTGGATCCTGTCTAAATTGGCCCTAGTATGTGTATGTATGAATGTGAGTTAGGGACCTTAGCTTGTATGCCCCTTGAGGGTCAGGGACTGATGTGACTGTACAATATATATGTAAAGCGCTGTGTAAATTGACAGCTCTATATAAGTACCTGAAATAAATAGATACATTTGCTGTTATCTTCTTAAGTACCCCAAAAGCTTTAAAAACCTGCATTTCCTAATATGCAAGTAGCAACTTTATCTGTGCAGTGGGCACTTGGCTTCACCTTCTGTTGCCACAAAAATGTGAATTGCAGTCACAATGACCAAGTCAAGTGTAGAAGTCCAGGATAAGTGTGGCTATAACATCACTACAGGGAGAGGCAGAGGCAGGGGCGGACTGACCATTTGGAAACTCAGGCACTGCCCGAGGACCCGTGGTCAGTAGGGGGCCCCATGAGATGCCCCTGGTACCTTTTTCATAGGCTTTTTTGAGTTTGGGCAAGGACACAGGGGCCCCATGATCCCCTATTGCTCGTGGGCCCCTTGAGTTGTCAGTCCGCCCCTGGGCAGAGGGCAGAGGAATATCACTCCAGCCTGGCACTAGTATGTACTTGGTTCATATGAGGTTGCCCTCGCCCTGTAATAAAACAGGACTGGATCCTCCATTCTTTAGCCCAAGAAGTAGTGACAGTGAGGGACAGAGGTAAAGAGCTGAGCTTAGCTGTGCTGTGGTGCTCATGCCAATTCCTGGTGTCCTGACTCCTTTCCTGGCTAACTCTGCGTGCACTGTTTTGTGGTCATTTAAAATTCACATATTATTTGGTAACTGGCCACTACCTGCAGTTAAATTAGAGACCATCATGATTGTTTATGTTGCATAGGAGGGAATATGGGTCTATTGTTGCTGCTGTGGAATAAGGATCTAGTTTACTTCTGGGGGAAGTTATTGTTGCTTCTGGAAGAAGCTATTTTTACTGCTGGAGGTTCTATTGTTGCTGCTGGTAGATTTGTTGTTGCTGGATAGATCTGTTGTTGCTGGGGGTCTCTTTTTGCTGAGGACAGTGGGGTTATTGTTGCTGCTGCAACAATGTGCTCTGAAGCATACCATAGATCAATATTTGGCATAAACAGCAGAGCCCAGTGTGTGGCCTTTCCTGTTCCATAGAACTTGATTGATTAGTTTCTGTTGAATGGACAAGTTGGAAAACTCTTGGCAAGTCCTTTTGTCAGAATACAATGTCCTGGCAGGGGGGATTCTTCCATCCACATTGCTTGTATAGATGTAGGAATTTGTTAGTTCTTTTTTGCTCAGCTCATTGGCTGAATTAAAAAAACTACCCTTCTGGCCAGTTGAAAGTGAAACTAAACCGTCCTATACTTTACAAAGAAGCTGCCATCTTAGTTTGAGTTTGATCTGCAGTTGCCATGGTGCTGCACATGTGATCAGTTATGACACCAGCTATTTGATGGCTTGACAGTTGGGTTGAGAGTATTAGCAGCTGTGACAGTTATCATTCACGTAATGCCTTGATTATCACGGTTTTGGGAAACTGTTAAACCAGTGGATTTAGTTCAGCTTTAGGTCGCATTTACACGTGATCGTTGCATTTTTTAGGGGGGGGGGGGGGTTTAGCATTTAGTCATGCGTTTTTAGCAATTTTACACGTTTTTTGTTTTTAAAGCATTTTTGAGCTTTGGCATGTTTTTTTTTTATAGCCAAAAGAAAAAAAATATATAATCCGTTTCATCACTTGCTGCTACTTATTCAGCTTTTTTAGCTTTTTCATCAGCTTTTCTTTATTATTTATTTATTTTTTAAAGGGTCAGGGGTTGGGTTTAGGCTTAGGGTTAGAGTAGTATTAGGGTTAGAAGTTAGGGTTACGGGTTAAGGTTAGAGTTAGAAGTTATTTAATGTATTTACTTATTTATGATTATTAGTTATACATTAAAAATAAATAAAT